AAATTAGCAAGGAAACAGAGACTCTAAATGAAGCACTAGACCAAATGGATTTAATAGATATCTACAGAGAATTACACCCCAAAACTACAGAATACACATTCTTCTCAAGTGCACATGGGACATTCTCAAAGATAGACCACATGATAGGACACAAAATAAATCTCTACAAGTTCAAGAAGATTGAAATCATATCAAGCATCTTCTCAGATCACAATGGCATGAAACTAGAAATCAATTGCAACAAGAACATGCAAAGACATTTGAACATATGGAGGCTAAATAGCATGTTATTAAACAATGAATGGGTCACCGAGGAGATCAAGGAAGAAATTAAAAACTTCCAGGAAACCAATGAAAACGAACACACAACAACACAAAATCTATGGGATGCAGAGAAAGCAGTTCTGAGAGGGAAGTTCATAGCACTACAGGCCTACCTCAAGAAACAAGAACAATTTCTAATTGACTGTCTAACCTCACAACTTAAAGAATTAGAAAGCAAACAAAAAGAAAACCCCAGAGTAAGTAGAAGGAAGGAAATAGTAAAGATCAGAGCAGAAATAAATGACATAGAGACCAAAAAAACAATTCAAAGGATCAATGAAACAAAGAGCTGGTTTTTCGAAAAGATAAACAAGATCGATGGACCCTTAGCTAGACTCACCAAGAAACAAAGAGAGAGAACCCAAATACACAAAATCAGAAATGAAAGAGGAGAAGTAACAACCAACACCACAGAAATACAAAAAATTGTTAACAGCTACTATGAACAACTATATGGCAACAAATTCGACAATCTAAGCGAAATGGACAAATTTCTAGAAACACACAGTCTCCCAAAACTGGACCGGGAAGAGATAGAAAACTTGAACAAACCAATAATAACTAAGGACATTGAAGAGGTAATCAAGACTCTCCCAGCAAACAAAAGCCCAGGCCCAGATGGCTTCACAGGGGAGTTTTACCGAACATTCAAAAAAGAACTAACACCCATTCTCCTCAAACTATTTCAAAAAGTTCAAGAAGAAGGAAGACTTCCAAACTCGTTCTATGAGGCCAGCATAATTCTAATTCCAAAACCAGAAAAAGACACGACAAAGAAAGAAAACTACAGGCCAATATCCGTGATGAACATAGACGCCAAAATCCTGAACAAAATATTAGCAAATCGGATCCAGCAATACATCAAAAAAATTATTCACCATGACCAAGTGGGATTCATTCCAGGGATGCAAGGTTGGTACAATATTCGCAAATCAATAAACGTGATACACCACATAAACAAAATGAAGAATAAAAACCACATGATCATATCAATAGATGCTGAAAAAGCATTTGACAAAATCCAGCATCCATTTCCGATAAAAATGCTCAGCAATGTGGGAATAGAGGGATCATATCTTGGCATAATAAAGGCCACATATGAAAGACCTACAGCCAACATCATACTCAATGGACAGAAACTAAAAACATTTCTATTAAGAACAGGAACAAGACAGGGATGTCCACTTTCGCCACTCTTATTTAACATAGTACTGGAAGTATTAGCCACAGCAATCAGACAGGAGGAAAAAATAAAAGGGATCCAAATTGGAAAGGAGGAAGTGAAACTGTCATTATTTGCAGATGACGTGATATTATACATAGAAAACCCTAAAGACTCCATCAAAAATCTACTAGACTTAATAAATGAATTTGGCAAAGTAGCAGGATACAAAATTAACGTCAAGAAATCGACGGCATTCTTGTACACCAATGATGAACTCACAGAAAGAGAAACTGAAAAAACAATCCCATTTACCATCGCACCAACAACTTTAAGATACCTAGGAATAAACTTAACCAAAGAAGGAAAGGACCTATTTGCAGAAAACTACAGGACATTGAAAAAAGAAATAGAGGAAGATATAAGAAAGTGGAAGCACATACCCTGTTCATGGATTGGAAGAATTAACATCATTAAAATGTCCATACTACCCAAAGCAATCTATAGATTCAATGCAATCCCCATCAAAATACCAACGACATATTTCACAGAACTAGAACAAATACTTCAAAAGTTCATATGGAACCAAAAAAGACCCCGAATAGCCACTGCAATCTTGAAAAAGAAGGACAAAGTAGGTGGGAGCACAATACCAGATATCAGGTGATACTACAAAGTCACTGTAATCAAAACAGCATGGTACTGGCACAAGAACAGGCAGATAGACCAGTGGAACAGAACTGAAAACCCGGAAATGGACCCAAGGCAATATGCTCAATTAATATTTGACAAAGGTGGCAAGAGCATACAGTGGAGTAAAGACAGCCTCTTTAATAAATGGTGTTGGGAAAATTGGACAGCTATATGCAAAAAAAATGAAACTAGACCATCAACTTACACCATACACAAGAATAAACTCAAAATGGATAAAAGACTTAAATGTGACCCGTGAATCCATAAAAATTCTAGAAGAAAATGTAGGCATCAAAATTTCGGACATCATACGGAGCAGAATTTTCACTGATACATCACCTAAGGCAACAGAAACAAAGGAAAAAATGAACACATGGGACTACATCAACCTCAAAAGCTTCTGCACAGCAAAAGAAACAATCATCAAAACAGAAAGGCAACCCACTGTATGGGAGAACATCATTGCTAATGATGTATCAGATAAGGGGTTAATCTCCAATATATATAGAGTGCTTATACAAGTCCACAAAAGGAAGACAAAGAACCCAATTAAAAAATGGGCAGAGGAGCTGAATAGACACCTCTCCAAACAGGACATACAAATGGCCAAAAGACATATGAAGAAATGCTCAACATCACTAATCATCAGAGAGATGCAAATTAAAACAACAATGAGGTATCACCTCACACCTTTCAGAATGGCTGCCATCAACAAATCATCAAACAACAAGTGTTGACGAGGGTGTGGAGAAAAGGGGACTCTAATACACTGCTGGTGGGAATGCAGACTGGTGCAGCACTATGGAAAACACTATGGTGTTACCTCAAAAAATTAAAAATTGAACTTCCATTTGACCCAGTGATCCCGCTTCTAGGAATATACCCTAAGAAGCCTGAAACACCAATCAGGAAGAATATATGTAACCCCATGTTCATAGCTGCACTATTTACAATAGCTAAGATCTGGAAACAGCCCAAGTGTCCATCAGTAGACAAATGGATATAAAAACAGTGGTACATATACACAATGGAGTACTACACAGCGGTAAGAAAGAAAGATCTCTTATCCTTTGAGACGACATGGAGGGACCTGGAAAGTATTATCCTAAGTGAAATAAGCCAAGCAGAAAAAGACAAATACCACATGATCTCACTTATATACGGAATATAATGAACATAACAGTCTGAGGAATATGGTAGACCCAGAAACATGGAAGTAGGGCACAGACTGACATCCCTCTGAAGAGGGGGTGGGGGGTGGGGTGGGAATAGATAAACCACAGAACTTATATGCATGTATGCATGACCAACGGACATGGACAACTAAGCCAGGGACGGGGCAGGAGTGGGGTGGGGAGGGGGGTGCCAATGGGGTAAAAAAGGAGAAATATCTGTAACAAAATAAATAAAAAATTTAAAAAATAAAAAATAATTTAAATAAAACAAAACAAAACAAAAAAACAACAACTCTAAATGGTCGAGGTTTGTATGATTATGTATTTGGGATGTGTATAATCACAGTGAGACATTTTTGCCCATTCTCTCTTTGTTTTGTTTTGTTTTATGTTATGTTATGTTATGTTATGTTATGTTATGTTATGTTATGTTATGTTATTTTTGGCTTTCTGAAATACCTGCTTTTCTAAACATCCTGCCTTGCTCAAGATTCATTCCTTTCATGAAGCTCTTCTTAAAGGTTCCAGCCTTCATTTATCTGGATGTTTGTTTCCCTCTTAATTTCATATTCACTATCATTAGTACATTACCCCCCCCCCAAAAAAAGTAGTGTTGATAATTAACTAATATAACATTCTTAGAAGGTAAATCTTAGATAAGACCTTAGAGATCATCCAAGTATAGTGAGCTCCCATTATGTGCCAGACACAGTTTCTAACCCTGGGAATGAGTAGTTAAAGAAGACTTGCCCCTGCTTTTCAGAAATCATAGCCCCTTGTTTTGCAGACAAAAAAACCTCATAGAAGTGAAATGGCTTACCCCAAATCATTTATGTGCCAGAAGAGGAAGGCCAGAGCCACCTCTCTTGATATTAATGTAGTTCGCTCTCCTATAGTTGTGCACACAAGGCAGTTCAGAAACTTATTGTAATCACACTGTTTCATTTGCTTCACCGATGTATGCTTCTTATGGCTAGATGCTCTGTCAAATGCTCACTTTAAACTCTTTTTCAGGCCCTGGCCGGTTTGGCTCAGCGGTTAGAGCATCAGCTTGTGGTCCAGAGAGACCCAGGTTTGGTTCCCGCTGAGGGCACATATCTTGGTTGTAGTTTGTCCCCGGCCCTGGTTGGGTCGTGCAGGTGGCAACTACTCGATGTGTCCCTTTTACATCAATGTTTCTCTCTCTCTCTCCCTCCCACTCTATCTGAACAAAAAATGGAAAAATGTCCTTGGATGAGGATAAAAAAAAAATAAACTCCTTTTTAGCACAATATAATTAATAAATGGTTTCTGACTGAGGTAAATGGGATAAGTCCAGCAGAATACCTCTTATACAGTATTCTTCAGGACAGACTATGGTTCAGATTAGTTCTGTCCCAATTCAGTCCGTACTATAAACTAGCTCAGAAGCAGTTTTGCTTCCTCAGTATCCCCCTCCTTTAGGCGTAACTACATCTCATTTGCCTCCTGTTATTTCCTCCAGAGTCCTCAGGGCAGGCAGAGAAGTTGCCAGTTTTCCTTCTTCCCTGAGTCTTCTTGGCTTTTCCTCTCTGCCAAGGATGTGTGCATTTTTCTAAAGACCTGGTTGCACCCTTCTAATGTCTCAGCTGCCTTTCCATCTGACAGCTTGTCCTGTTTGACCTTAGGACTCCTCTGATGATGGCTTGCACAAGGAAGAATCTTGAAGTGATCCAGGACCTTGTAGAACATGGTGCAAATCCACTTCTAAAGAACAAAGATGGCTGGAACAGCTTCCACATTGCCAGCCGAGAAGGTGACCCTACAATCCTCCAGTACTTGCTCACTGTTTGCCCAGATGCCTGGAAAACAGAGAGCAAAATTTGCAGAACTCCTCTGCACACGGCAGGTATGGCCCAGAGTTCTGCAGGGATGCAAGCATGGATGTGCAGCCCGCTTCCCCCAGCACTGAAGAATGTCATCGAGTTGCAGGGTTTTGGAAAATAGAGGTTAAGGAATAAGAGCAGCTTTGAGGTATTTTGGCATATACTGAGTTTCTAAAGCTAATGACACTTGGCACTTAATATGCTCTTCTTTCTTGTATTAGTTCACTTTTCATAAATATTAGTCTTATACTCCCCAGCTAGTTAGATGGCAAGCTGATTATGTTCCTCACTAAGTCTTTGACCTTGGACAAAGAGCTTAGTCTCTTGATTAAGTTTCCTCAACAGCAAGATAATGATAATAATGATGCCCATATCACAAGGTTATTACGGGGTTTAAAGAGCCAGATGTGTGTAAACCCCTTAGCACAGTGCTTGACACTTGAGCACAGACCTGGATGCTGCTATTTTTATGATCATTTTCATGTTTTTATTATTAAAGTTGGAGGAAAAGAGACAGTTTTTTAAATATCCTCGGCAATACCTACCACAGTGCTATCCATTTAAATAACTATAGGTGTTTATATAATTAAATACCTGGACCTGAGTGTATTTGACTTATCTAGTGATAATGTCAAATATAAGTGTGGGATACAGTTTTTATTGTTTTGAGTAATTATTTTTAATTCTGAATTATCTATTTGTAGATTATCTTAAATTAGTAAAAAGCCAAAGTGCCGTGGCATAAGATGAAATGGATATTAATGAGCTCAAGAGTCCACATCAGCCCTGGCCAGGTTAGTGGTCATTCTGAGCACCGAGGGGTTGCTGGTTTGATTCCTGGTCAGGGCACAGGGTTGTGGGCTCAGTCCCCAGTAGGAGGCGTGCAGAAGGCGGCCGATCATTGTTTCTTTTTCACATCAATGTTTCTATCTCCCGTCCTCTCTCTCTCTAAAACAATCACTAAAAACATATTTTTAAAAAAAGAATCCAGATCAACAAATTTAAAAAATAATCTTTAGCCTTCTAGAGAGTGCATTGAATTAGAATACAGGGCTTTTGGTTTCTCTAAAAATCAATACCTGTAACATGATATAGTTTAGAAAACATGCATACAATTATTCTAGTCACAGTGGGCGGGTAGGGAGCAAGGAATCCATTTTGAAACTTTGCAAGTGAGTAGAAAATGTTTCTCTACTCATGAATTATTTGACTAGCTCCCCTACTTTTCTGAAGACACAGCACCCAGTCATTTACACAAAGAAATGGTGCACAGAGAGTAAAAAAACTTTATTATTGACTATAGTAGGAGAATTAAATTCTTGGTTATTTTGTCATGTATTACTCTTAAAATGTTTTACATTTCCTGGGCAAAAACTGACTGGCCCAACACAAAAGTGAGGAGATAAGTTTAGGATTGAAATTTTTTTTTTTATCCTCACCTGAGGATATTTTTCCATCAAGAGGCTGCCACCCACACTACCCAACCAGTGCCGGGGACAAACTGCAACCGAGGTTCATGCTCTCAGTGGGAACCGAACCTGGGTCTCTCCGGACCGCAGGCCAACGCTCTAATCGCTGAGCCAAACTGGCCAGGGCGAGGATTGAATTTTGTCATAAAAGTGCTCATGAAGACAAGATAATCTGTTTGAGCTATGGACCTATTTAGTAAAAAAGTCATTCTTTACCAATTCAATTATCCAGCTAAATTTTTATTGATGTAGCTAATTTAATTACTCCTTCCTCTACATCATAGCTAAAAAGATGAAACAGAGACTGGTGCCAGGAGGAAAGAAGCATTTTATAGATGCACCTGAAAGTTCTAATTCTCACCTCTCTTCTCCCAGCAATGCATGGCTGTTTAGAGGCAGTAAAGGTGCTTCTTCAGAGGTAAGAACAAAACAGCAAATTAAGGAAGATATTTGCTAGTTATGACAGTTAATGTCAATGCTACATAAAGAGCTCAAGCAAATTGTTCAGAGAGCAAGTAAGGTACCAAAAGAGAAATGAACGCAAAGAACATAAAACAAAAATAGCTCACAAACATGAGATAAAAATCATTTGTTTGGTTGTTCATTCAACAAATATTCATCTATTTTATTCAGTGCCTATTATGAATTGTACCAGATGCAGGGGCTACAATATAAACAAAACAATGTTTCACTCTCATGGAATTCACAGATACTGCACAAGTCATGTGAATCTGGTGGCATTACAAGGAAATGCAGGATTCCTCCAGGGGCATATGACAGGAAAAGCCAATTTGGCCTAGGAGTAAGGGATCTCAGCACTGTGATATTTAAACTGTGACCTGAAGGAGGCTGAGAGTGGGAGGCAGGGGGAATTCCAGACAGAGAAAACAGTACTCAGGAATGCTCAGAGCCTGGGAAAAGCATAGTGGATATAAGAAACTGAAAGAAACTCAGTATGTGCTGAATCCTAGAGTGAGGGGGGAATGGTGCGGGATGAGGCTGGAGAGGAAAGCCAGGCTTCAATCAGGTAGGCATTGTAGACTATGGGAAGGATTTTAGGTTTCATTTTAAGCAAAAAAGATGCCATTAAAGGGTTTTAAGCATGGGGGTGGGTAATGAGAAATTTGCATTTTTCCAAAATCCTCTGGTTGCGAAATACCGAATGGATTGGAGGCGGAGCAAGAATGGGTACTACGAAAGCTGTTGGGAGGCTATTGTAGTTAAATAAGAGAGAAATCATCATAAGTGGACTAAGAAGCTGGCTATAGGGATGAAGAAAAAGATTTGGAGATACTTAAGTAGAATCAATAGATAGGTGAATAATTCAATGAAGTGAATGAGGGAGAAGGAAAAGTCAAAGATGACTTTCAGGTTTCTCACTTAAGCAACTGGTGGTGGTGCTGGTGCCATTTACTGAGGTAGAGTGCAGTGGAGGAGGAGCAGGCTTTGTGCGAGATGATAACAATTTCACTTTTATTTATTTATTTATTTATTTTTTTGGTACGTGCCCCTAGCGGGAACCGAACCTGGGACTCTGGTACACAGGCCGACGCTCCCACCGCTGAGTCAAACCAGCCAGGGCAGACAGTTTCACTTTTAGACATGTTGAGTTGCACGTACTTGGAAGCTATCCAAGCAAATATTTCAAGAGGGCAGTTAGAGACACAGATATAAAGCCTAAAGGACAGGTGTGGGCTGAGATACAAATGTGGGCTTCATCAATATAGAAATGATGATTGAATTTGTAAGAGTGGAAGAGATTACCTGAGGAGACAATACATAGTAAGAAGAGAGGAGGGCCTAATGTAGTGCCCTGAAAGCATTGCTTATGTATAGGGCTTGCCTACTGCAAATTGGAACATACTTGGTTGTCTGCCAATTTATAAACATTCATTGAACAAACATTTTTTAAGCACCTCTTATGCATTAGGTGCTAGATGGTAAGCAAAACAAACACAGTCCTTTACTTAACAGCCCATAGGCTTATGTGGACACCAAGTATAGATGATTATAGAAATAAAAACTATAAAATTATAAACTGATATCCCTGCTTTCTGAAAGTTTGCATTATCCCACTTTACCTATACATAAGACCTACATTTAGTACCTTTTTTCACTAACCAAAAGAAATCTGAAGAGGATTTTAAGTTTTATGAGAAAATCTGTAGTAATGTAGGTCTTTCATAAAAGTGAAGTGTCATATGTAATGAAAACTTTCAGAAAGCTGGAGATATTCGTTGCTTTATGATATTTTGGCTTACAAAAGGTTTCAGAGGAATGCTCTACTTTTAGATAGTGAGGGAGACCTGTAATACTAAAATAAAGAGTATACAATGGTATGTGGAAGCAAAGGTACTGTTGATGCCAGAAAGAAAACAGGCCTCTCTGAAGTCACATTGAAGCTGTGAAGGATGAGTTGGAGTTCGCCAAATGAAGAATAGAGAAATAATGTTCCAAGCTAAGGGGATCAGCAAGTGCAAAGGCAGCAAAGAGCTGGGCAAATGAAAAGGCAGGACTGTGAAGACGGAAGGACAGGAGAGAGATAGGATGGGGAAGAAAGTAAGACAAGTAGGACCATGAAGTAGGTAGGAACAGAAGATGATCGGACTGGTGGGAGGTGAGACTGGGAAGATGGGACAGGAAGTTGAGGGTAGGAACAGAAAAAGGGGAGATGGGATGGAGAAAAAGAAAAGAGCCCTGGCCGGTTTGGCTCAGCGGTTAGAGCGTCGGCCTGCGGTACAGAGAGACCCGGGTTCGGTTCCCACTAGGGGCATGTACCTCGGTTGCGGTTTGTCCCCGGCCCTGGTTGGTCGTGCGGGTGGCAGCCACTCGATGTGTCCCTTCACATCGATGTTCCTCTCTCTCTCTCTTCCTCTCTCTCCCTCCCGCTCTATCTGAACAAAGAATGGAAAAATGTCCTCAGGTGAGGATAAAAAAATAAAAAATAAAAATAAATAAAAAAAAGAAAAAGAAAAGACAAAAAGAAAGTAGGACCAAGAAGACAGGGGGACAGGTAGGATGGTGAGAAAGGTAGGAACAGAAGAAGGTAGGAATGAGGAGTGTAGGGAAGGTTGGACCATGAAGAAGATAGGAATGTAAAAAGATAGGATGGATGAGAGGTGGGACTAAGAAGACGACATGACAGGTTGGAGCAGGAAATAAGCAGGACCTAGAGGAAAGGGCAACCATGAAGAAGATAGGTTGCAGTAAGCACAGAGGTGGGGTGTGGGGGGGTATGTGGGAGAGAGAAACCTGGAGAGGTAAGTTTGTGCCAAATTTTCTTGACCACTAGAGGTCATGCTGAGGTTCCAGATTTTGTGGTTTATTTTTGGTAAGTACATAGTTAAAGATTTTTAACAGGAGCGGTCATACCCAATTGCATGGTGAAAAGATTATTCTGGTAGCTGTGAGAATAGATTAGCAAGGCAGAAGCCAAGGTGAGAAAAACTGTTAAGAGGCTATTGTTTATTGATTTGGTCCTAAGGAGTGAAAACAGAAATAGATACAATTAAAATATTTTGAATGCAGAATTGAGAGGTTTTGATAATAGGTCAGTTATGAGGGCTAAGAGATGACTTCAGGGCTTCTGGCATGAGAAGTTGGAGAGATGATAGTCCATAATATGGAATAACAAAGGTTAGAGGAGGAGCAGATTTGCTGGGGGAAACTGACATATTGTTTAGAGCTAAGTTCTGATATTGAGATGGGGAAAAGAGGAAGAGTTCTCCAAATTTTTAAAGATCATTTGTAGGGCATGTCATCTACTGCAGGGGGTCAAGAGGCAACTGTCCATTAGGTTTGAAGCAGTGGCTTTTCTCAGCTTTTATTTTGCATTTGGGTTCTAGGTGTCAATATGAACCAGACTGCAGAGACAAGTGTGGCTTCACGCCCTTTATGGATGCGATTCAGTGTGGGCACATCAACATAGCCAGGCTGCTCCTTGAAAAACATAAGGTACAGCGATGGTTGGGTTTTTCCTATGAGTTTTAGGTCATAGGATAAAACAAAGGTCATAGTTACTCAGATCCTGGGTGAAAATTCCAGTGCTGCCACAGTCCCCCTGTAGGAGCCCTCGACCTCTTTAAGCATCAGTATTTCCATCAGAAATATGGTGACAAATTTAAAATCTTCAGAGGGTTCCTCTAATGATTAAATAATGTAACATACATAAAGCAGTTAGCAAAGTAAGATTTACTTATATATATTTATTTATTTATTTAGCTTCACCTGAGGACATTTTTCCATTTTTTTGTTCAGATAGAGTGGGAGGGAGAGAGAGAGAGAGAAACATCGACGTGAAAGGGACACATCGAGGGGCTGCCTCCCACAGGGCCCAACCAGGGCCGGGGACAAACTGCAACCGAGGTACGTGCCAGTAGCGGGAACCGAACCCAGGTCTCTCTGGACTGCAGGCCGACGCTCTAACCGCTGAGCCAAACCGGCCAGGGCAAGATTTATTTATTTTTAATTAATTTTAGCAAGAGAGAAACATCGATTTGTTGTTCCACTTATTTATGCATTCATTGGTTGATTCTTGTATGTGCCCTGACTAGGGATCAAACCCGCAATCATGGCATATCAGGATGACACTCTAAGCAACTGAGCTACTCGGCCATGGCAGCAAAGTAAGATTTCAGTAAACAGTAGCTGTTTTATAGTAATAACAACAAACTCTCCACTGAGTTCACTTTTGACACACTTTGAACATTGAATCTCAACCCTTTTGTTTGTTTGTTTGTTTACAGAGTCCTTTAAGAATCTGATAAAAGCACCCTGGCTGGTAAGCTTAGTGGTTAGAGTGTTGGCCTGCACACCAAAGTAGCAGGTTCAATTCCTGGTCAAGGGTTCAATTCCTGGGTTGCAGGTTTCATCCCTGGCCCTTGTCAGGATGCACGTAGGAGGCAACAAATCAATGTGTCTCTCTCACATTGATATTTCTCTTCCTCTCCCTCTCCCCCCCTTCCCCATCTCCTTTTTCCCTTCCTTCCTCCCTTACACTCTCTCTAAAAATCAGTGGAAAAAATATCCTTGGGTGAGGATTAACAACAACAACAAAAAAAGAATCTGACAAAAGCTATGTAACATAGGGCCCAGAAAAATGTACATTAACAACAAAGTTTAGCTAAAATGTCAGAAGGTCCATGGTCCCAGGTTTCTCTGCTTCTTATTTTTGTTCCTGTCTCTCCCCATTCTACTAGGCTTGCATTTCTGCTGAGGATTCCCTGGGGGCCCAGGCTTTACATAGGGCAGCAGTCACTGGGCAGAATGAAGCCATCCGATTCTTGGTCTCTGAACTTGGCATTGACGTAGATGTGAGAGCAACATCAACCCACCTCACAGCACTTCATTATGCAGCTAAGGTTTGTTTCTTTTCACAAGAGTGTCCCTGCTTCCTTAGGCTCGCCTTACTCCACTGATGAATAGCTCCACAGTCCTATTTCTTTGGCTCCATCTCTGTGGAAGAAAGAAATTGCTCATGATATGCTCCTGAAATGTTCATGGTTCTGAAGCCCTTATATCCCTTTAAATAGAAACCTGCCTATTTATTGCTAGGTAAAAACTGAAAACACCCATTATTCCATATAAGGCCTAGACTTTATGTTTCCTCCCACCCCCTTTTTGTCCTCAAGAGTGGTGGTATTTGGCCCTGACCGGCGTGGCTCAGTGGTAAGAGCATTGGTCTGCATACTGGAGGGTCACAGGTTCAATTCCCAGTCAAAGGCACGAACCTAGGTTGCATGTTCGATCCCTGGCCCTGGTCGAAATGTGTGCAGGAGGCGACCAATTGATGTGTCTCTCTCACATTGATGTTTCTCTCCCCACCCCCCCTTCCCTTGCACTCTCTCTAAAAAAATCAATGGAAAAAATATCCTCCAGTGAGGGTTAACAACAACAAAGAATGGTATTATCTGAAGCTATAAAAAATCCATTGTATTAAATTCCTAGCTCTCTATTCTTATGGTAGATTTTAGAAATTAAAATTCCTCTAACTAAGGGCACTGCATTTACTAGCCTCTCTAATTGTATAAAATATTTAAGACATGTAAAAAGTTTTCACTACAAAAGCAGATGTTTACATATTCCTGTTTTATTGCTAGGAATCTTTTGCTTATTATCTTTAACATGATTGGCTACTTGCCTTTACTTGATTTTCTAGGGACAAGAATGTTTTCTGGTAAACTACACACTCTTGCCTGCGTTCCCCTATGAGAGAGTAGATAGATAAATGAGGGTGGGTTAAGGGAATGATCTATGGCCACAGCAGGGGGAAAAGCTGGTGTGTCCACCTGTAGGAAGATTGAACCTATAACCTTGATTTCAATCTCACCACATACTAATGGATTAACTGAATAGACAGAAAGTGTATAAATTGCCTATGACTGATAATGCCAGCTATGATGAGAGTCCATCTCTTCTGGTTTATCTCTGTCCTAAAGATTTTAGCAAAGAATATGTGTGCTTGGGAGAATTTGTAACTGTGTTCTGTACAAATCACAATATTTATACTCATTACACTGAAGGAAACCCAGCTTGTATTAGTCGATAATTAGGCCTACAAAGTTGACCATCTATATTCTAATGCCTGGGTATCACCAAAAACTGTCTTTAATAATTTATACTGGGGTTTGAGAGTGATGTAATGGTTTTCCTTTAGATATGGAAATACAGTTTTAGCAGTAGAGTATTTTAGAAAAATTACCTAATATATACATCAGTGTTTATATTTAAAGATCCTTGTCACAGTGATAATGAGTTTATTTCAACCCTCAGGAAGGACATGTGAGCACAGTTCAGACACTTATATCCTTGGGTGCTGACATCAACTCTAAAGATGAAAGAAATCGATCAGGTATGACTTCTTTGAAATTGTTAGTCAACAGAATGTAAACAATACATGGACTTTAAAAAACATTGGTTTTAATATTATTCCTCTACTAGCTCAGCAACTTTTCCTTAAAATAACATCTAATTATAACTACTGCTGTTACCATGGCAATGAAAAAGACTACTACTCATTACTATTGCTATTATTATTGTTTTTATTATTTGAAACTGCAAAAATCTGTGACATAAAAGCACTTTCTATCTTCATCTATGATGCCACCAGCTATCCAGGTAGTCTATAATAGATTCTTCATAGGTCATCTCTCTTTGGAGTGTATTTAAAAACTATAATCATTGCCCTGGCTGGTTTGGCTCAGCTGTTAGAGCATCAACCTGTGGACTGAAGGGTCACAGGTTTGATTCCCAGTCAAGGGCACATACCCGGGTTACAAGTTTGATCCCTGGTCCCAGTTGGGGTCATGGGGGAGGCAACCAATTGATGTGTCTCTTGCACATGGATGTTTCTCTCTCTCTCTCTCCCCTTCCCTCTTTCCCTCCCACTCTGTCTAAAAATAAATGGAAAAATATCCTCGGGTGAGGAGTAACTAAAAAATAAATAAATAAATACTATAATTATTACAATTTTCTCAATTTGGGGCTCAGAAGGATATTTTTAGAGCTAATTCTTTAAGACTTTAGAATAAACCTCAACATTCTCTGAGTCAGTGAACATCCTTCAGGAGTTTAGTGGGAGCTTCATGAGGCTTCAAAGACTCACAGATAAGTACTCACTTTCAGGCCACAGAGGATGGTCGCTAAGTCCAGGGACAGACTTTCTCCTAAAGACAGGAGCAGAAGCCAGGTTCCCTTCAGCACTAATTACTAACCGGAATAGGAAGGTTTGTCAGCTGTTTTTCTTTTTATCACATTATTCTTATTCATGGTGATATTTTTACTTATACAGAAATTTTACAAAACTTTGAAAATACTTTCTGTACCATTTAAAGTCTCCTGTTTCTCATAAACTTGCTTTGTTGCTTTAGACAAATCTCTTAAATCCTGTCCAGTTGGCCTTGTTATTTTTAAGCCATTTCTAGCCCAATGAGCTTAAAAGGAAAATGTTTTAATGTAGTATAGGCAAAGTCATACAGATGGATTATGGAAATATAAAACCTGTACAATTGAGAGAATCAATATTTTCGTTAGGAGCATTTTACTGGCCAGATGAGTATTGCTTTGGGGGTCATGCACTAAGTTCGTATGACTTCTGTCTCTGCTCAGCCCTGCACCTGGCCTGCGCGGGTCAGCACATGGCCTGCATCCAGTTTCTTCTGCATTCTGGGCTGAGGGACTCTCCAGATGTCACAGGTACGCTGGCTCAGCAGCTCACACGGAACACAGACATCCTTCAGTGCTTCAGCCACAGCGTTTCTAAACAAAGGCAGTAAAACTCATGGTAACTTATATCCTGCTGTTTAAGTCATTACCAGGTTCAGTGAAATCTGCTAATAGCCGGTGTCCTCTGCCCTCCCTCCCCTGCACTCTGCTGCTGAGATTCTGGAGGATGTGGACGCTGGCTTCCTAGATGCAAGATGGACACACTCATAATCTCTCCTTACCTGCATTTCATTTTGTGGCCTTCAAGTGGACTTAGATAATGTTTGTGATGTCAGTGTCAGGGCTCCTTGGAGCATGTAACATGCATGAAATAATGTAGTATACATACTTTAATATATCTATTTGTACATATATGTGAAATGTTTTATAGTAAATGGTATATGGTAAGGCAATAATAATATTAAAAATACAACCAATTGCTATTAATTTCAGCCATAAATAATTGGACTATTTACTTTCTTTCATAGTTTATTTTCTTTGTTGTTACAATGGTTTAGTTTGGTTTTCTAGCCAGAAAGAAGTGCTTACAATTTGTTTTATTTACACAAACATTTACAAGGAATTAATGAAAATGTTTATATGCTAAGCACTACTAGTTAAGCTACGTTATGATTTTGAGGTTTGTTTTTTTTTTTTAAGAAAAGTTCTGTATTGAATCCCTTCAGGTAATAAATACACCTAAAAAACGCATCTAAGATATTTTCAGAACTTCTGTTACCTCAGCTGAGGAATGGGTTTGTTGTTAAAGCCTGCAAGTCACATTTCCTATTGTACACCATCTGCCGCTGAAGCCTGTGATTGTGGAGGAATGAACACTTGATGTACCTTCTAAGAAATTTGTAGCAATTTAAACATATTGAAGATAGGATGAATCCTCAGGCATTTGGATTCTTTCACCCCCCTTTTTTTCTTTTTTAAATATGTTCTCTTTATTGATTTTAGAGAGAGAGGAAGGGAGAGGGAGAAAGATAGAAATATCAATGAGAGAGAACATCGATTGGCCACCTCCTGCATGCCCCCACTGGGGACCAGGCCCACCACCTGGGCATATGCCCTGACTGGGAATCAAACCGGCAACCTCTTGGTGCATGGGTCGATACTCAACCACTGAGCCACACTGGCCGGGCTCCCTTTTTCTTTTTAAAATCATTTTCTTTGAATTGCAGAGGATAGTTATTAGTTCAGGTCTGTCTGTTGAAAGATCGAATGCATCCATCACAAGCAAGACTTAATCTTGTTCATTGTAATCCTGTGAGAACTTGTCACACACTCAGCTATTCTCAGTGATGTGCTGGACTGGATGAACAGCCAGAAATTCCAGTTCTTCTTCTTTATTCCCAGATGAAGCTGGCTGAGACTTGTCCCCAACAATCAGATAAACATCTGGTAGTAACACAACTTGTTTATATAGTCTTGTCTTGTGACCTCTACGTCACACATTTTGCATCTGCACTGATTCAAACTGCAATTACATTTCCTGTGGCTTCAGAGATGTCCGTGTCTCTGTTCTTTGGTTCTGAAGATGGCCATGTTATGTGTAGGAGGAATGGAACATCAGCCTGGTGCTAGCTACCTCATCCCCTCAGCACACATGTGAAGCAGCCTTTTATTTGCAGTGACTACATGCAAGACCCGTTGACCTCTGTTGCTTTGCTTCTGCGGTACCCACTTGTACTAGCTCACCACCGGAAGCAATGAGGGAATATCTAGTTATACATTTGTTCCCAGGAGTTCCAGAGTTGGCAGTAATGATAGCAGTATCAATTGTGGCAAAGATAGCAGTGATGATATAATAACAATCTTACTGTAATGATGTATTAAAAATGCTAATGACAGTAGTGATAATAATGTTATTACCTACTTCTAGTTTTAGGCACTTTTCTCACTTCTTTGGGTCTTTACTTAAAAGTCACCTCAGTGACGCCCTCCAAGGCCACCCAATCTAAAACTGTTCTCCTTCAGCATTTTATATCGCCTTTCCTCAGTTTCCTTTTTCTCTTTTGCATTTACCACTATCAAGTGTACTATATATACATTTTGAATTACAGTGATACCTCGGTTCTCGAACGCCTCGGTTTTCGACCAAATGGAGATTCGAGAAACTTTTGTCTCGGAATCCGAACAAATATTTGGAACTCGAACTTCCGAGATGAGCCGAATGGCGTTCATTCGGCCCAGCGCGCCTTGCTTGCGTCATCAGTGTGAGTGCAGAGAGAGTCACGCTTTGTGGAGTCACGCTTTCCTATTGGTTTCATTGCTTCGGTTCTCGAACAATTCGGTTCTCGACCGTCCTCCTGGAACGAATTATGTTCGAGAACCGAGGTATCACTGTATTTTGTTTCTTGGCTGTCTCGCCACTGGAATGTCAGCCCCTTGAGCAGGGCTTTTGTCTCTTGTTTGCTTAATATATCCACAGGCCCAGAGCAGAGCCTGGTGCGTAGTGAGGTTTGAAATTATTATATAGTTAATGATGAATGGTGACAATTCATGTTTCTTGAACACTTAGTATATATCCTGGATACGATGCAAGCATCTTACCTAGATGGTCTCATTTCATCCCTTGGCCCTTCCATGATACAGCCCCTCCTAATTATTATTCCATCCCAAGCATCCTTTCTCACACAAACTTTTTTAAAGAAGCTACTCTCGGTTCCATCAATTCATAGGCACTGCTCAACCCGCTGCTACTCTGTACAAGTTTTTCTCAGTCAGGTTACCAGTGACTTTCCAATTGCCAAATCAAGTAGTACAGTTTTAGCCCTCATGTTACTGATCTGTTCACTTCAATTATCTATCACTCCCACCTTCTGGAAGTTTGTTCCTGTCATCTCTGGTAACACTCTCCTGGAATTTTCTCTGACTTTTTCTTTTTTGTCTCCGTCATGAATGCCTCTTAGGGCCTGTTCTGTAAATGCTAGTGTGCCCGATTTGGTCTCCATCTCACTGTTGTCCTTATTCTGTGTGTGCTCCCAGAACCATCTCATCCATTCTCTTCATTTCACCTGCACCCTAATATTGGTGACACTCCATTCTCTAACCTTTATTTTCCACTGCCTGCTGTACATTTTTTGCATAGACATTCTAAGGCTATTCCATACTCAATTTATTCAGAACCTAGGTTTTCCCTTAACCTGCTTATATGTGTACCTGTGTTTGCTTCCTAACTTGATGATACTGCATATCACCCAGTCACTCAACTTGGAAACCAGGAATCTGACTTCTTGGTTCGCTCTAGCAGGAAGCCCTGCTCAGTCTATTCTGCTCCAGCCCTAATAAGACTCCACAGTTCAAGCCCTCAGCTTGTCCAGACCTCTGTTGCAGCAGCCTCCTAACTGTTTCTCTAGCCCCCGGTGTTGTTTTCTTCAAATCTTTCCTCCACACAGCCCTGAGCTCCCACTCACATGACCAGGGGCATTGACTGCCGCAGGTGGCTCACCAAGTCCCCCATCCAGAGAACACACCTGCACGCTCACCAGGGTTTAGTGCCTTAACCAAGAGTCACTTTCTCAGAACTATTGGCTGGTCCTAAAAGAGCACCTGATCCATTGTGACTGTCTGTTCATGAGATTCATCAGGCAGAAGTCCTGGGAAGATATACAAATTGGTAAGAATTAAGGGACTTCCGGCAAGATGGCGGCGTAGGTAAACGTGGTATCACGTCCTCCCACAACCACATCAAAGTTACAACTAAACTACAGAACAACCATCATTCAAAACCGCCTGAAATCAAGCTGAATGGAAGTCCTACAACACATGGTCCCACACCCACGTGTGGTAGATAAAAATCAGGAGGACTCGGCTGGGAAGGTCCTTCCTGAGGACTGAGGGGTCCCTGTCCCACACCAGGTGCTCCGCTCAGGGTTCCAGTGCCAGGAAAAGAAGTCCCCAGAACTTCTGGCTGGAAAAACCAGCAGTAACAGACTCAGGGAGGCTGAAGCGGCTGGAACCCCAGGCAGCTCCTTAAAGGGCCCGCGCACGAATTTATCGTACTCTCTCCCTCTGAGCTTGGAGGGGAGGCAGCTCGAGGGGCACCAGAGACATACAGGGAAGAACTGAGCTGTTTGGCACTGGAGTGAGGGCTGGAGAGGGGGCTTTCTCTGGGACAAACGTGCTGTCAGAGGCCTTTGTTCCTTTGGTGAGCCCTTCCCTGGGGCGGCAGACAGCCGCCATATCTGGAACTCCAGCAACCTGGCTCAAACTGGTAGCCCCGCCCTGGTGACTCCCTGAGGCCCCGCCCCACCCAGCTTTCAGGCCCACCCAAGCTGTTGCCACTTGCTTAACCATAGGATTGGCCTGTCTTGGATCCTGCTTCAGGTTTTTCCAAAATTCCTTCAAACGAGCAGCATCTGGTCTCAGCTAGCCCCATACTGCTCGTTAAGTAATACACAGAAACAAACACAGGGAGGCAGCCAAAATGAGGAGACAAAGAAACAGGTCCCAAATGAAAGAACAGAACAAAACCCCAAGAAAAGAACTAAGTGAAATGGAGATAAGCAACCTAACAGATGCTGAGTTCAAAATATTGCTTATAAGGATACTCAATGAACTCAGTGAGGGCCTCAAGAGCATAAAAAAGGACCAGTCAGAAATGATGGATGCACAGTCAGAATTGAAGGAGGCATTAACTGAAATAAAGAATAATTTACACAGCTTCAATAGTAGAGTACGTAAATCTAAGAAGCAAACCATCGATTTGGAATATAAGGAAGCAAAAAACGCCCAATCAACAACAAAAAGAAAAAAGAATCCAAAAAAATGAGGATAGTGTAAGGAGCCTCTGGGACAACTTCAAGCGTGCCAACATTCACATCTTGGGGGTGCCAGAAGGAGAAGAGCAAGAACAAGAAATCAAAAACCTGTTTGAAACAATAATGGCAGAAAACTTCACTAACTTGGTGAAGGAAACAGACATACAAGTCCAGGAAGCACAGAAATGAACCCCAAGAGGCCCACACCCAAACAAGATGAACCCCAAGAGGCCCACACCAAGACACATCATCATCAAAATGCAAAATGTTCAAGACAAAGAGAGAATCTTAAAAGCAGCAAGAGAAAGGCAGCTGGTTACCTACAAGGGAGTTCCCATTAGGCTGTCAGCTGATTTCTCAAAAGAAACTTTGCAAGCCAGAAGGAAGTGGCAAGAAATATTGAGAGTGATGAAAAGCAAGAACCTACAACCAAGATTACTCTATCCTGCAAAGCTGTCATTTAGAATCGATGGCCATATAAAGAGTTTTCCAGACAAGAAAAAGTTAAAGGAGTTCATCACCACCAAACCATTATTATATGA